CCAGCCCCTCGAGAGTGATTTCCCAGCCTGGCTCTGTGTGTGGGAACTGCTGTTGCTGCAGGAGGTGTTTGCAGAGGGCTCCAGGGTACATGTCCCAGCCATTGCCAGGGTCTGGCTGGCGCCTCCGCGTTCCTCTTCGCAGCCACCAGCTGCACAGGCAGGAGCTGCCACCTGCCAGCTCCCTGTCCTGCCCACAGCCAGCACAGGGTGACAGCTCGTGGGCCAGCCTGGCTCTGTGTGTGGGAACTGCTGTTGCTGCAGGAGGTGTTTGCAGAGGGCTCCAGGGTACATGTCCCAGCCATTGCCAGGGTCTGGCTGGCGCCTCCGCGTTCCTCTTCGCAGCCACCAGCTGCACAGGCAGGAGCTGCCACCTGCCAGCTCCCTGTCCTGCCCACAGCCAGCACAGGGTGACAGCTCGTGGGCTGCATTTGTGCTTCCCTATCACAGGAGCAGCAGCCAGGGAGAGCAGGGGCTGTCCTGTCCCCCTGGCCTCTGCCTGCTCCTTGCTGGCAGTTGGGGGCTCAGGAAGGAGTGTGGACATGCAGAGTTTGTCCCTGCCGAGGTGGCACCTTGTCCCCACTTGTCCCCTCTGGTCCTGTGGCAGGGGACACACCTAACAGAGGCTGTTTTCTGTCTGATGCACAGTTCCCATCCAGATATTTTGTCCATCTGACTGTGCAGAGCTTTAAATTGGAGCTTTTCTTTTTCCAACCAAATTCTCCAGGGAACAGGGAGGAGCTGAGGTTGGGAATTCAGTGCAGAGCCACCCTGAGGAGGAGGAGGAGGAAAGTGTCTTTCATCTTGACTCACCCTCTGCCTTGTCCCAGTCGGTGGTGCCCAGGGACTCCTCTGGAAGCTGCACTTTGTGGCTAGAGATGCAGCTTGGATGGAGGCGGCTGAACAGTGAGAGAAAAAAGCCACTGCAGGAGGCCTGAGGTGCCCCAGGGTGTCCCTGCAGGGTGTGAGCAGGGGGCTTGCACCCTTTGAACTGAAGCTCAAAGCGATTTCAGGCTGCTCATCCATCCCTTTTGTGCCAGGAGTGCCTGGAAACCAGGTGTAGGTGTGTGGCAGGTGTTGTGGAAGGGTTCGTCTCGTAGAGGGCTCCAGGAGGGTGGAGGCTGGTGAGGGGCTCTGCCACCTGCTCTCCCTTCCTGACAGCCCCCAGGGCAGGGTCAGCTCCACATTCCCCCGAGGAGGAGCCAAAATCCAGGCCTGGTGCTTCAGCTGACTCGTTTTGTCTTTCCCTCCTCCTTTTCTGCCCTTAGGTGAACTCTCTACCTGCTGAGAGGATCCAGGAGATTCAAAAAGCCATCGAGCTGTTCTCTGTGGGTCAGGGCCCTGCCAAGACCATGGAGGAAGCCAGCAAGAGGAGCTACCAGTTCTGGGACACACAGCCAGTGCCCAAGCTAGGTATGTGCAGCCCCTCGTGTTCTGTGGGAAGCTTTAGTGGTGCCCAGGCTGCTCCAAGAAGGCCTCAAAGAAGCCTGGAGAAGCTGGTCTTGGCCACCAAGCAAATCCCAGGCTGGCCTGGGCTTCAAGGGCATCAGCAGCAGTTCTGCACCATTCAGCATCACAGACTGAGCAGCTGAGGGTGTCCAGAGAGCTGTGCAGGTTCTGCAGGTGCAGAGGGGTGAGACCCACTTCAGACAGCCCTTAAGCCCAGCCCTCTGTGCCCAAATTTTATGCCATGGGTGGTGCCACATCCCGTGGACTGGGAGTTGTCCAGTTCTCCCCTTTGTGGGGGTTGAAGCTTCCCAGCCAGGGGCCCTTGTTGTGTGAGGTACCTCGGGGTGAGGCAGGGCTGGATGGTGCTAGGAGCTGCTCAGGGGAGCAGACCTACAGCAGTGCTTCCCAGCTGCAGCCCTCGCTCCTGTTCCTCTTGCTGACAGCCTGTGGCAGTGAGGTGCTGTCAGCACTCAGGTGCTCCACAGCGTGGCAGGAGCAGGGGCACAGCATGCAGAGCTGCCTGGCTGGGAGATGTTCCTTCCCAGGCTAATTGGAGCAAACCTGCCACACTCCCAGGGAGTGCTGCACTTAGTCTCTCCTCATCTGCATCCGCCAGAGCTCAGGAGAACGAGAGAACGAGTCTAAACCCATAGTTCTGGATGTACTCAAAACTTGTGGCTTTAAATTGGCTAATCCTCAGTGATTCCCTTCAGGGGGTTGTGTCAACCCCCATGTGCTGCAGGTGCCAGATTTGATTCCCTTTCCGTGGGAATCCCCTTTCCACATTGTCAGCACCACTCTGAGGCATTTTTGGGTCTCAGAGAAGCCTTTCTGGGAGTGATGGTCTCAGCTTTGTGCTGGGAAGGAGACAGTGATATGGCACAGGGTCATGTGAGGCAGCAAAGTCTGGTCTTGCATTTGCCCTTTTTCCCAAAGATCCTGGATATGAAAAAACATAATTTCTGGTTGGGAAAACTCTGAAGGAAGGCTGGAAGGTGTCTTCTGGGGTGGCACAAAGCAGCTCACTCCTCCATGCACCTCGTTGGAGCTGTGCCCTGTCTGCCAGCCCCTCACCATGCCCCAGTGTCCCCCGTGGTACTCCCATAACAGAAGTCCTGTGAGATTTCTGGGACTGGATTTCAGAGCAGTTCAGCACCTGCTCAAAACACAGAGGGCAGCCAGGGGTGAGTGTTTCTGGCAGCTGCCCAGGGTGGGTGTGATGGGGACAGTTCTCTGGGCTTTCATCACCTGTCCATTGCCTGGAAACCTTTTCAATCCCTTTTTAATTGAATTCCTAATTAGCACAACTCACTCCTCCTGGCAGCACTGAAGTGGTGCTGCTGTGCTGACATCTCTGAAAAAGCTGGAGCTTGAGCTGATGTCTCCTGGCTGAGTGAGGGCTTTAGGAGGCACTGGTTGCACAACAAAAGTCGTGTTGTTCACTGCAGCTCTTCTCTAGGCACAGTGGGCAGGACACCCTGACTCTTGCCAAGTGGCAGTGGCCAGAGCTGGCAGGAGAGAGCCACTACCCTGTGGAGTGGCTCACAGGAAAGTGCTGCCTGTGGCTAGGATTGTGGGGATGAGGAAGGCATCCCATGTGGAGCTGGAGGATGTGGCTGTTTGGTCACCTGTTCAGCACCACTGTTGTCCTGGGAGGAGTTCTGATTCCCTGTCCTGTGTTGTGTCCTAAACTGGGTGGGTGAAATCAGGGAGCTGAGGTGGGAGATGTGAAGCCTGTTGATCACCAGTTTGTCATGGAGCACATCTTCATGGCTCCCTGCTCTTTCACAGGAGAAGTGGTGAACACCCATGGCCCGGTGGAGCCAGACAAAGACAATATCCGTCAGGAGCCATACACCCTGCCCCAGGGCTTCACCTGGGATGCTCTGGACCTGGGGGACAGAGGCGTGGTGAGTGCAGGCAGCTCAGCCTGTTGGGAGGGTGTCTGGGTTGGTAGTTCCATGCCTGGACTGTTGGAGATGGTTCAGGGGGTGGAAACACGTCCTTCACCACTCCAGGTGACTCCAGCTTGGTGTCACACCATCTCCTTGGGGCTGGGTGGGTCTGACTTCCCCCTGCAGTTCCCTCACTCATCCCATGTTGGCCAGCTTGGCCTGGTTTCTTCATGGAGCTGTAAGGACTCCTGAAGCCAGTTTTTCCTTAGGAAGGTGACCCAAGGGCACCAGAGCTCAGCTGTGTCCTGCTGCTCACCCTGCTCCAGAGCAGGGACGTGTGTGTGGCCCAGTGCTGTGGCCACACCAGGAGTGTTCAGGGTCCTGTCTCAGGGCAGCTGGGGCAGGTGATGGCTCACTAAGTCCCTTCACCTGCTTGTTGTCCCCTGCTGCAGCTGAAGGAGCTGTACACACTGCTCAACGAGAACTATGTGGAGGACGACGACAACATGTTCCGGTTCGATTACTCTCCTGAGTTCCTGCTGTGGTGAGTGGCACCGGGAGCACGGAGCAGAGGGGCTTGGAGGCTGACAAGCCTCATCTTGGTGACAGCACTGCAGCTGCCTTTGCTTTTCCCATCTCACTTCTTCCCATCGTGTCCCTGCCCCATCTGTCACCATGTGCAGTGTCCTAGGGACACTGCAAGAGGGGCTGTCACCCAGCCCTGCCTGTCTCTGCCTTCTCTGAGAAATGAGAGTCTAAAACTGGACTTCTTTCCTTTTGGTTTGATCCCTCAAGTGTTTGTGACAATCCCAGGAGCTGAGGAACTTCTCAGTGCCCTGGAGCTGTGGGATGAAGGCAGCTGCCAAGTGATGCTGCCAGCAGTGACCCTTGGAGTCCTGTTGCAGCAGAGCTGCTGTTTCCTTGGGGTGTTCATGAATTAAGGAGTATGGATTCCCTCCTGTACCACTGGTGAGGGCTGCCCTTGGCCATGGAGTGCAGGAATTGCCCTGGATCCTTGCAGCCCGTGTCACATCACTGTCACTCTGCTGTGACACAGAGCATCCCGGGCAGGGTGGGAGCAGGAGCACTGGGGTCCTGGGTGGGAGGTGACTGCTGAGGTATGTCTCTCCCCCAGGGCACTGCGCCCGCCGGGCTGGCTGCCTCAGTGGCACTGTGGGGTCCGAGTTGTGTCCAGCAAGAAGCTGGTTGGATTTATCAGTGCGATTCCAGCCTCTATCCACATCTATGACACGTGAGTGAGCTTCTCATCCTGCCTGTGCTGGCGTGTGGGGCTCCCCGGGAGCACTCAGGGAGTCTGAGTGACCTCCCCAGCCCACAGCCTCCCCCAAGCCCAGCCATGGAGCTGCTTTGCTGCTTGGAGGAGAAGGTGGGGGATGTTTAAGTTCTGTGCAAGGACATCTTGTGGCTGTGCCCACTGCCCTGGGGAGCTGTTCAGTGCCCAAACACCACTGGGGGAAAAACCTTGTCCTAATATCCAGCCTAAACCTCCACAGATGCAGATCATTTTCCCTGCGAAAGCTTATGGGAGAGTTCTCCAAACTCAGCCCTTGGCCCTTCCCAAGGCATTGGTTCCTTTTTCCTTCAAAGGGGCTGGAGGTAAATCTCCCAGGGCATTGTTCTGATCCTCCTAGGTCAGTTCTCATGCTCTGCATTGTTTCCTCCCCAAGAGAAAAGAAGATGGTGGAGATAAATTTCCTGTGTGTCCACAAAAAGCTGCGCTCCAAGCGGGTGGCTCCGGTGCTGATCCGCGAGATCACACGGCGAGTGCACCTGGAGGGGATCTTCCAGGCTGTGTACACGGCAGGAGTGGTGCTGCCAAAGCCTGTGGGCACGTGCAGGTGAGTGTCTGTGGCTCTCCAAAGATTTCTTGCCCTTCCTGAGGACCCCTCTGTGTGGGATCCCCTGGGATACAAGGGAATGATTCCAGCCCAGGTTTCTCCTTCCCAGATTACGCCCATAGTTTTGCTAAAGCTGCTCATGGAGCAGCAGAGAGGAGACTAGGGCAGCACAGGCACTTCAGGCCTGTGTTTCTGTCTGTGGGAGCTGCTGGGCTGGTGTTCCTCCTCCCCTCCCAGGCCGAGTGTCCCACTGGCTGTGTGTTTCCACAGGTACTGGCATCGCTCCCTGAATCCTCGGAAACTCATCGAGGTCAAATTTTCCCACCTGAGCAGGAACATGACTATGCAACGCACCACGAAGCTTTACAGGCTGCCTGAGGTGGGTCCCAGCCGGGAGCAGGGCTCAGGAATTGCTCCTTGCTGGGAGCTGGAGGCACAAACATCCTGGCTGAGGTCGAGTCCTCTGCCTACACACCTGGAGTTCGCTCCGTGGAGTAAATGACTCTGTCAAGCTACTGTGCTTTATTGAATCTTTATGTATTTTTGCCTGGGTACCTGCATTTTAAGGGCAAATTCTTGCAGTTAGAGGAGCCTGTGAGCTTTGTTTGATGGTGAGTCATAGCCTGTCCTCCTGGTGCAATGAGAAGGCAGATATGACAGCCTTCATCTGTCCAAACAGCCTCAGTGTGACCTTGAGTGGGGTCAGTCCCTCATTCCTCACTCACACTGATCTGTTCTGGCACTGCAGTTGTCCTGCTGGGGAAGTTCCCTAGCTGGAAATGGGAGACAAAAACGAAGCATTAAAATTGCCACCACCTTTCCCAGCCTCGTTGGCTCCTTTCTGCTGCCAGAGCTGCCCCTTTGGGTCAGAGAGCACTGCTTTAGTGCTGGGCAGCACACAGTCCCCAGCTCCTGCCTCTCACTGCCACAGAGGCAGCAGCTGCTGGATTTGTGCAGAAACTCAGCCCCAGAGCACACCCAGGCTGTGCTCAGCCCTGAGTTAGTAATTGAGGCCAACTGGGAGCAACATCAGGCAGTTCCTTGCAGAGCCTGGGTCACATCTCCCAGCCTGTCCCCGATGTGAGCAGGGCAGAGACCTGGAGGGAAGTGGAGATCCTGTGTTAGTGGGTAGGAGGCCACTTCCAGTGGGACCTGACCTGGCACATGGGGCTCTGGGACGTGCTGTGCTCTCTGATCTTCGCCGTCGGTGTCAGGGCTGATCACATCCATCCCTGGCTGGGCTGGGGGCTGAAAAAGGGCTGATGTAAGCAGAGAGCTTCTCTTGTCAGAGAGCCCTTGGGTGATAAAAACCTCTGTGCAAGCAACAAAAATGATTTGTCCCACTTTCTGTAGACTCCCAAGACTCCTGGCTTGCGGCCCATGGAGCACAGGGACATCTCTGCTGTGCACAAGCTCTTGACTGAGTACCTGAAGCAGTTCCACCTGATGCCTGTGATGAGCCGAGAGGAGGTGGAGCACTGGTTCTTACCTCAGGAGAACATCATCGACACCTTTGTGGTAGAGGTGAGGGTCAGGAGAACTGCCAGGCTGAGAGAGTTGGGGCTGTTGAAGAGAAGGTTGTGTGGAGGCCTCAGGGCACCTGCAGGAGCTGAAGGAGCTCCAGGGAAGCTGCAGAGGGATCTGTGTTAGGACCTGCAGGGACAGGACAAGGAGCAATGGGGAGATATTGAAAGAAGGAAATTTAGGTTAGATCTTAGGCAAGGGTTTTCCCTGTGAGGGTGGTGAGACACTGGCACAGGTTGCCCAGGGAGGCTGTGGCTGCCCCAACCCTGGCAGTGTTCACAGCCTTGAGCAACCTGCTCTGGTGGGAGTTGTCCCTGCCCAGGGCAGGGGGTTGGGGCTGGGTGATCTCTGAGCTCCATTCCACCCCTATAACATACTAGCACGAGCAGGACAGGGAGGTGTTTTCCTGGGCTTCTAGCTCTGCTGGAGCTGTGGGAGCTATCATGAAGGTTGCTGCCGAGGCAGTGAGATGCCCTTCCAGGATGTGAGTTCCCTGGAGGATGGTGCCTCCATCCTGGCATGCCCTGAGTCTCTTCCCACCCATCACTCTGGCAAAGCCCCTCTGTGACTCCAGCCAGGCTTTGTCCTAGCTCTGAGGTGTTGTGGTGTCCCTTCTGTCTTCCAGAGTGCCCCAGGGGAGGTGACAGACTTCCTGAGCTTCTACACGCTGCCCTCCACCATCATGAACCACCCAACTCACAAGAGCCTGAAAGCTGCTTACTCCTTCTACAACGTTCACACCAAGACGCCTCTCATCGACCTCATGAGTGATGCTCTCATCCTCGCCAAGTCGGTGAGCGATGGCAGTGCTAGGGTGGCACCACGAGGTCACCAGGAAGCTCACTGGGCAGCTCACAGCTGGCTGGCCACCCTTGTGTCTGTGGGCACAGCCAGCCCTGGGCCAGGCCTTATTCCCAGCTCTGTAAAACCCCAATCCTAAAGGAGAGGGAGACAGGGGGACCCTGAACCTTCCAGCTCGTGGTGAGCTGAGCTCAGACTGTCTCCTCATGTCCTGCAGCAAACACTGCTGTGTGTCCATAGCACTCGGGTTGGGCTGAGCTCTTCCCTGGTGGCCTCAGGCCCTTTTTCTGGGATGCAGAGCTGGGAAGGAGAGGGGGACAGGCAGCTCAGGGTGTGAGGAGCTCCCCAAGCATGTCAGCAGGAGCTGATGACTTTGGGTCTTCCCCCTGCAGAAAGGATTCGACGTCTTTAATGCACTGGATCTCATGGAAAACAAAACCTTCCTGGAGAAGCTGAAGTTTGGGATCGGAGATGGGAACCTGCAGTATTACCTGTACAATTGGAAGTGTCCCAGCATGGCACCAGAGAAGGTCAGTGCTGTGGGGTGGGGGGGTTCTCCCTGTGTGTGGGAAGGGGTCTCATCCCCACAGCCCTGGGGACAGGAGTTTGGAGTCACACCCACTGCAGCATTCCCAGTGCCAGCTCCGTCGTGCTGTCCCTGCTCCGCGCACCGAGGGGACAGGCAGAGGCTGCAGGGACACAGGTGACACTGGTGGTGCTGACAGTCACCTCCTCAGACCAGAGCAGCTTGGGGCTCATGTGCCCATTCAGCCACAAGCCCAGGAGTTTGCTGCTCTCAGATACCCCAGAACCCGTGAGGAGACCCACGTGGGCAGCTCTGAGCCATGTCCGTGCCGTGTCCCAGCCGCGTCCG